ATGGTTATAACTGATATATATTGACTTATCCTTGTCATGACTTTCTCTTTTTGTTGGATTCTCCCCCTTTGCATTTCATTTCTTTTCATGTCTGATGAACTCAGTCTTCTTGGCTTCTTGGGTTGTGATCTTCATTGCCTTTTCCTAGGATGTTGCTTAAAATTTTTTGGATGGCTGGTTTGGTATTCATGAAGTTGCTAAGGTGCTCTTTGTCATGAAAGTATCTTATTTCTCAATCAATTTTGGAAGATAGTTTTTCAGGGTACCTCAGTCTGGGCTGGAGGTTGTTTTCCTTTAGAGTTTGAGATGCATCACTCCATGCTCTTCTTTCCTTGAGGGGTTGTGTTGAGGAGTCTGCTGTTATTCTGATGGGCTTTTCTTTGTATGTGATTTGTTTCTTTTCTCTAACTGCTTGCAGAATTGTGTTCTTCTGTTTGGTTTCTGGAATCTTAACTATTATATGCCTATGTGCAGATTTTTTGATCATGGCTAGTTGGAGTCTTATTATATGCCTCACTTATCTGTATGTTAAATTATTTTCCCCTATTTGGGAAGTTTTCTGACTCAACTTTTGTGAACAGTATTATTATATCATCTGCACTATCACCTGCTTCTTTATTGACTCCAATCAGACTTACATTATTCTTCTTTGCATCTTCTAGCAGCTCCTGGATTGATTACTCATGGTCCTTACTATGTTTAAGAAATTTTTCTTTTCCTGGTCACTAATTGCAATCCTGTCTCCTATATCTGAAATTCTGTCCTCACATTGGCTCACTCTGATTGGTAATTTTCAGTGGAGTTTTTAATCTAGAAATCTGTTTGCATCTGATTTATGGATTCTATTTGTTTCCTATGTTGGAATTCCATCATGTTTCTCAGCTGCTCTATTTTTCTTTTTTCTTTTCTTTTCTGTACCAGGGATTGAACTTGGGTCCCTGCACTTGCAAGGCAGGCCACCAAACCACTGAGCTAAATCCCCGGCCCTGCTCTATTTTTCTTATCTGTGGCTGCTCTAGATTTATTAATCATGTGTTGTACTATGGGGGCAATCTCTGATATTATCTGAGAAATTATTTTTTATTTCATTTTTTCCAGACCCTCTTTTGTTGCCAGTTCAGGGAGTTCAGGTTGTTGAGTGTTAGATTTTTCAATGTTATCATTTGGGGTTGCCTTAGGTGACCTGGAAGTCTGGTTTGGGAATTGTTTACCTGTCTTCTCATTACATTTCAACAGTTGCAACCCACTGTGCCTTTGTTGAGGCAACTTTTTACTTACCTAGTGGTCTTCAATTCTTGGCAAGCCATCAGGCATCCTTTTCCCTGCTGCTCACCAGTACACAAATTCCTGGGTTCAGCATGGTGGCCTTTTGGATCCCTGAGCTGACCTGTCATTTGTAGGCTTCTGACTGGGGCCTGTGCACACTTGGGGTGCACACTAGGTGTGTCTTTTCTTCTGGGGCTTCTATGTGCCTACTGTCTGGAAGGGTCTTTGGCTATTGGTTCTTTACTCCAGTTCCTGTTGTCGAGTAGGCTTATGGCTAGGGCCTCCACCCACTTATTGATGCTATGGGGTGAGCCTCTGGCTTTGCTTGTTGGCGTGTGTAGCTCTTTTCTAGGTGGACCTTTGTCCTGGGTGGATGTGGCTGAGTCTTTTTGGTCAGCACAGAGCCCTTTCTGGGACCTGCCTGCAGCCCCACTCTTGTTCACACAGCTGCCTGTATAAGAGCTTTGAAAAGATGAGAACTAGGGATTATATGAAGGAGTCAAAGGAGTAGGAAGGAGATGATAGAGGATTCATAAAAGGGAAGAGAAAAGTGATTGAAAGAAGACAGTATATGGCAAATTAAGTGCTCCAGAATAGTTTACATACTCAAAAATAATTAAGAAATGATGTATTGTTATGGGGGCTTGAAGTGAAAAAACTAGATTGGTAGATGAGAGAGAACGTATATATCAACTAAATCAAAGCAAATAGAAGAAAAAATAAACAAAAATGAAAACCAAATAAACACACACACACACACACACAAATACAAAAACAAAGCAAATTATTTTTAAAACCCAGAAGTTAGCCAATGAGAACTTCCTTCATGTACCCCAACAATTCAATGTATATATGATTCACATCATCCTATTACTTGAAAACCTGGCATTCATATCCTTCCCTTCTTGCTTTGATTGTGACATGATAATATGCAGCCACACTAATATCCCTCTGACCTTTCCAAACTGAAGCTAACCCAATCTCAAAACTTCATTCTGCCACTCTGACGCTGACCCAGTTTTGGGGTTCGTAATTCTTTCTGTCCATCTCCCTGGCTGTGGTGGTGGAATCAGCAAGCAAACTTAATGGCCAGTAAGAAGGCATCCAGCCAGTGGTGCACTTGTACAGAGTTTTCAGATGTCCTCAGGAGGTTGTAGAAAATGGTGGTCACCAGTGTGGACCTGCTAGGGTTCCTCACTCTCCAAAGTCCTCAGGTTCCTCAGAGCTATGTGCTTACTTGCTAGAATCTGCAGTTTCTACTGCTCTGCTCAGGATGTGGGTGGGGCTCCCTAGCACTTAGTGAGCACTAGTAGGGGGTTGTGGAAAGGACTGTCCCAGCTGCAATTCTCAACCACTATGTCAAAGAGCCCATGGGTCTACACAATTCTCTTCTTGTCTTGGTTGCAGTCTGGTTGCAAGTGACCACTGTATTCTCTGTGAATGGGCTTCTTGTAGCTGCAAGGTAGAAACAGAGCCCACTCAACCTGATGTTTGTGATCCAGGTGTCCAACAGATATTCAGGACTCCTGCTAAGTGGTTTGGATGTGCTGCCTGCAACTCAGCTGAGCTTGGATTCACACAGCTGTTGCCAGATGCTCTGTGTATGCTTACTTGGGACTCCTGTGCACTCTGTATATGCAGGCTGCTTAGGTAAGTGCTAGAGCCATGTGTACACACGTGGATAAATCAGCCATCAGTCTACCAAGCAGGTTCTGCACTGTGTGCAGTCCACCCAAACTCTAGGGAAAATAGCTTTCCTGTGTGCTCTACTCCAGCATGTACTGTGGCAACTGGGCCCATGTCCCCACCAGACTCAGGCTAGAGAGAGGACACATGAAGGAAGGACATCCCAGCACAAAAGAACAGATTTTCAGTGTAGACAAAATAGCTCTTTATTAGGAATAAGAGGCTACCTAGAACTTTCATAGCTACAGAGAAATGGATGCCTGGCTTCAAAGCTTCAAAGGATAGGTTGACTCTTGCTAGGATCTAATGCAGTACTGACTTTAAGTTAAAGCCAATGTTCATTTATTATTCTGAAAAATCCTGCAGCAGCTAAGAAAACATTAAATCTGCTCTGCCTGTGCTCTATAAATAGAACAAAAAAAGCCTAGATGACAGCACATCAGTTTACAACATGGTTTACTGAATATTTAAAACCCACTATTGAGCCAGGCATGGTGGCACATGCCTGTAACCCTAGCGCTTGAGAGGCTGAGGCAGGAGGATCACTGTGAGTTCGAGACCAGCCTGAGCTACACAGTGAGTTACAGAGCAGTCTGAATTACATAGTGAGACCCTGTCAAAAAAATAAATAAAAACAAACCCAATATTGAAAACAACTGCTCAAAAAATACCATTTTCCTGGGCTGGGGATTTAGCTCAGTGTCCATACCTGCCTTGAAAATGCAAGGACCTGAATTTAATCCCTGGTACAAAAAAAAAAATCCTTTCCAAGCATTGGCAATACACCTGGTCATCCAAGAGCTCTGATGATAATGCATAGTGAGATCAATGTTGTTTTCATGCCTGCTAACCTTACAGCCCATGAATTAAAGTGTAATTTCAGTGTATTTTCATGTCCTTTGCCCAGTTTTGATCAGGTTACTTGCTTTATTTATTTATTTATGGTTGATTACTAGAATGAGTTCTGCATACATTTTGGGTACTAATTTCTTTTTTTTTTCCTTCACTGAGTTTATTGGTACATTTTATGTATACAGTACAGTTACATTCATTATTGGGATCTTGTACCTTTACATGACAGGTCTTGGTTCTCATTTTTACCCCTTGTCCCTGCCCTCCCTTCATCCCTTCCTCCCCTCCCCATTTACAAACACTTTATTTGCATTTTTTCATTTTCTCCCATTTTTTTCTTTCCCTTATTACCTTTCCCCTACCCTTCCAACTTTTCCTACACCTTTAGCCTTTTTCTTTCTATTTTACATGGTCAATTATTTCATTAGGATCTTATTACTATTATAGTTTTTCACACCAGAGAAGCTATTTGGTATTTACACATGTGTGGCTTATTTATTTCACTTAAGAGTATATCCTCAAAAGAAATTAGTTTCTTGAGACAGAATATTCTCCTATGAAGAAGCTGTTAAAATTTGTATAGTTACAACAAAGGAGTTGGAATCTGAAATAAATTTAGTTGACAAGCTGTGCTAAAGTTTGAGAAAGATGACTCTAATTTTGAGTTTCTACAATCAGTAAAATGTTATCAAACAGCTCTATGCGCTACACAGCAATCTCTGGTGAAAGGAAAAGTGAATCAATGTAGCAAACTTAATTGTTATCTTCTTTTAAGAAATTTCAGCTAGTCACGGAGCCTCATACTTATAATCTCAGGAAGGAGGATCGTAAGTTCAAGGGCCAACTGGGGAGCTTACACAGACCTTCCCTCAAAATAAAATTTCCAAATGATCCTGGGGTCTAGCTCAGTGGTAGACTGAATACATGAGGCCCTAGGTTCAATACCTATTATAGGGAAGGGGAAGGGGGAAGGGAGGAAGGGAGAGGGGGAGAGGGAGGAGAAATAAATTTCCATAACAGTGACAACTTTCAATAACTACCACTCCGATCAGTAAGCAGCCATCAACATTAAGGCAAGACATTCTACCAGCAAAAACAATTATGACTCCCACAAGATTGTCAGCATTTTTAGATATAAATTTTGTTTAATTAAAGCATGATGATATCGCACACAATACAGTACAATGTAAACATAACTTTTATTTGTAATGTTTACGCATACAAATTTCATGTATTTTGCTTTATTGCATTATTTGCTTTATCGGCCATAGTCTGGAACCAAGTCACAATATTCCTTATAAAGAACAACATCAGCAAAAACTCGTGCTTCCAGAAAGATGAAATCATTACTCATATTCATTGTCCCTGTAATTCTCACTACGTCCCTGTAATTCTCACCGTTCTAACTGCTGAAGAGCCTGAAAGGTTGTTACTTGTCCACGGTCACTTAGCTTGATGACACTGTCACAAGTTAAACACAGTGTCAACCTTCTTTCCTCCCTACCTTAGGGTGGCCATGACACATGACTCTTAAGTGGAGGGGTCAGCCAGCTTCATACAGAAACCATCATTAGTGCTCCTTGAGGGCTCTGAAACCCAGTAGCCTAAAGGAGAGCGTGAAGTGTGATTCCCGCTAGTGATCACTGTTGGAGGGAAGAAGTGCTGTTACCTCTGGGGAAGGCTTTTGGTGGTCTGTGTCTGGAGATGTGGGGATATCTTTGGAAAGAGATCCTTTCTCTGACCTCTGAGAAACTGGACAGATGGCTAACGGAGTCCCACTTTTCTCATTATAAGATTGAGGCTTGATATATGGCCTCAATAAGCCTTCAAACTGATGTGTCAGAGTATAAATGAGGCATGGATAATTTACATTGAAGAAGGAGATGGCTCCACCCTCATAGTCCAGGAAGACCCCCACTTTTGTAAGAGGATTCTTGGGGAAGACACTGACTCTATCAGGATCTAATATGAAATACTTATGTCCTTTCCTTAATTCAAGAACCCAGTACCCATTCTTGGAAGAATAAGTCTCATATTGCTTCCTGTGCACATTATCCCGGCACACGCCCAAGCACCAACTTTCATTGTGTCCCACATCTACTTCCCAGTAATGCTGCCCTGTCTGGAAACCCTGAGAAGCCACCACACACTTTCTCTTAAATCTCTTCTCTGTGTAGGACACATCCTGAGGAGCTTCCTTAAATATTACAGATTTCAGATCAGAAATGTAGAGCTGTGGATGAGCCGTGTCTGGGTCCAGAGTCACCTCCACTGTGGTACGGCAAGGGAGACAAATAACATGGGTTAGTGGGAAGGGGACCAGGATTGGGCCCAGAGGTCACTTCCTCCCAATATAGAGTGGACAGAGTGGATTTAGGTGAGGTCTCAGAGCCATTGGACATTGCCCCTCCATCCTTCCTCTTTATTCCAATGCAGCCCTGAAGCTGTCAATTCCTAGAGTCCCACCACAATCCCACCAATATCCCTTCTAGTAAGCCTCTTATTTGATTTTGTGAGAACTCAAATTACACTATTCTGCTTTTCCCACTCAGCCTTTGCTGGCCCTGTTTCATTTCTTTCTACTACAGCCTCAATCTTGGTTCATGCACTGATTACCTCGATTTTTCCAGTTCTGTTGTCTGAGACCTTCAAACTGGATAACCCCACTCTTGTCTTTTTCTCTCTTACACCTAGAGTGAGAAATGTGTCTGGTGGAAGGTGCACCCTAGGGTGGGTGGTGACATCACAGATTGGTCACTAGCAGGACACTCAGGCTGCTTGTCTAACATCTCCTATGCCCAGCTGAACCTTTGTACTAAAATCCATTCCCAAGGCATCTGTACCTGCATATTTCTGGTGCTTTTTCAATTCTGAAAACAAGAAGATGGAATGAGCAGGTCAGTGCTCAGATAGAAGCAGGTGAGGGGAAAGAACCAAGGGTGTCACCCCCTTTATAATGTCATGAACCTACCTGAGATTTGATGATGGTCAGGAGGCCTTACTACAAAAAGTACTTTACTGTATAATTTCCATCACCAGTTGTCTCTGAGGGTACCCGTTGGCCTCAGATTATGTGAATCTCGAAACTAAGGACTTGGAAGGGAGATATGAATAGGGCCTATGGGTGGGAACAGCTTTTCTCACCTGCCTCTGCATGCTTCTTTCTCCATTCTGTAAACAAAAAGAAGCAGAGAATGATATTATAGAAGGGAAATGGGTGTGGGAGGAAAAGTTGTGCATGTAATAACATTTTATGTAGTTTTCATGAACAATAAGCTCAAAAGTCTGGATAAATGTAGAAAGATCTGGACAGAAGGAGTTGAGGGAAACATCCCCCAGATGCTTCACTATTTGGAGTTCACATGTGATCTAAGAGCTCATAAAATCTATAGTTTCTCTCCCTCCAAATGTACCTAAGGGATAGCAGCAGAGTTTGTAATAGCTAAAACATGGAAACAGCTCATTTGCCCATCAGTTGGAAACTGAATAAAGAAGATGTGGTATTTCTATAAAATGCAATACTACTCAGCCATAAGGAAAGAGAAATTAGAGTCATTCATAGGGAAATGGATAAATTTTGAGGATATGCTCCTAAGTGAAACAAATAAGTCACACATGTGTAAATACTGACTAGTTTCTCTGGTGTGAAAAACTATAATAGTACAGAAGATCCTAATGGGATAATTAACAATGTGAAATAGGAAGAAAGGGGCTAAAAGTGCATGGAAAGTGGGAAGGGTAGGGGAAAGGGAATGAGGGAAAAGAAAAAAGTATGAGAAAATGAAAAATGTAAATAAAGTATTTGTAAATGAGGAGGGGATGAGGGGGAGAAGGGAGGGCAGGGACAAGGGGAAAAAATGAGAACCGAGACCTGTCATGTAAAGGTACAAGATCCCAATGATGAATGTACTGTATACCTAGAATGTATCAATAAACTCAATAAAAAGGGAAAAAAAACAAAAGCTAGAAGAAAGGATTTTGAAACTGTGTTCCATGTGATTTAGAAAAAAACAAAAACCAAATGTACCTAAGGGAAAAACCTACTAAAATTCCGGGGTACTTCTAGAACCTGATGACCATTCTAACCTTCCCATATCTGAGGGTCAATTCATTAGTTAATTAAGTGTTGTTTTTGTTTTGTTTTGTTTTTGTAGGAGGGATTGAATTAGGGACCTTGCACTTGTGAAGCAGGCAGCAGAACCAAGGAGCTAAATCCCTGGCCCTGCTTAGTTAATTAATGGAGAAAGGAAACTAGCTTCTGTCTTGGCCCTGCACATGCTTCCCATCCAGTTTGGAGCTAAGATAACACACAGGTGGCTGAAGCTGTAGAACAGGAAGGGGCCCCAGAGAAATGTGTGTGGAAGGCTCAGAATACGAGAAGATGCTACTTACCCAGTTCTGCCAAGTATTTCCCTGAAACAGAAAGAATATTCAGGGGCCAACCCAAAATTGCAGAAGGTACAAACACAAATATGGCACTTTGCTCAGGGGGTTGATCAGTGGGCTAAAGGACAGGGTTAGGCTCGGACTCTCCCACTGGAGCTGTGCCATATCCCGCGGCCCCTGTTTTGAGTTTCTCTGTCTGGGGTAAAACAAGAAGGCAGTTTGGACAAGAAAGTGGGATTCTGGTATCCTCAGGTGGCAGTACCATCTCTAGGAAGAGAAAATTGGTTCTTGGGGTTTCAACTCTTATTTTGTCTGTCAGTCTGTCATACTTACTCCTTTGTGGAATATTTTACCAATTCTGAAAGTTTTAAAAAATAATATATCTCTTTATTTTATGCCCCCAGTGAAGCAGGAAGTGGGGTATGGCAGAGGTTGGTGTTTTCTTAGGGAGCCACTGTGGGCCAGCCTGGAAGAGTGAAGAACACGGCCCTATGGTGACCCTGATTGATGGATCCCCGATGCCTGAGATTGGAAGAACAGATTCCAGATGTACACCGGAACATCCCTGATCCTGGATCTCCTGGAACTATGAATAAATAAAGGATCCCCGATTGTATCTCTCACTTACTCTGATATTTGGAGAAAAATGTCCTTACTGCAACGATACCAACACTTAAAACAAAACAAAGTAAGCCCAATAAAATGGAAGCCAGGCTCCAAGGTGAAGGCCGGAAAAAGATCTCTGAAAAACAATTTCATAATCATTAGTGACTTCTGATCAATGAAGGCAATTTGATTCTCATTTAAAGAATTGTGTCTTATCCCACAACAAAAAGGACATTTTCCTATAATTACTTCTATAAACCTAAAAACTTGCATTTCTGCATAAATCCTGATCTAGTTAGCATTTTAATTTTATATATAATTCAATAGAGATTAATTTCATTTTCTTCTAAATGAATAAAATTTCCAGAATCATACGCCTATACGTATCATTTCGCACTATGTAATCTCAGTGTACATGAAGTTTCTGTTTCAGTTTGATTATGTTTCTAGGTTCTAAGTTATGTGCCATTAGTCCACTTCTCTATCTGTGCCAATAATTTAGAGAAACCTAGTAATCATCAGCTCTGAAATACATCATGGTATATCAACTAAGCTTCTCAATTTGTTCGTATTTCACTGTGTGACAATTCTTGACCATGTGCTCTGCCACTTAAATTGCAGCACTATTCACCACAATTCAGAAACGGAATTAACATATGGGTGTATCATCTGATGAGTGGGTAAAGAAAATGTGGACCAACTGAACAAAAAGTGGATCCCAGAAATAAAGCTACACATTTAAAGCCTCTTTTTCTCAACAGAGGTGCCAATAAACAAACACTGGAAAAAGGGCAGCCTTTTCTAGGAAACCAGATAATCACATGCAGAAGACTGAAACTCGATACTTCTTTTCATCCTGTAGAAAAAACAACTCAAGGGCCTGGGATTTAACTCAGTGGTTCTGCCACCTGCCTTGCAAGTGCAAGTTCAATCCCTGGTACCCACCCCAAAATAAAATCAACTCAAGGTAGATCAGAGACCTAATAAGAACTGAAACTCTGAAATTACTAACAGGAAACCTGGGAGAAACACTTCAAGACATTGGTACAGAGAGTGATTTTCTGTATAGGACACAAATACACAGGAAAAACACCCAAACATTTACAAATGTGACAAAGGAAACAACAAAGTTCAAGGGCAATTTACAGAATGATGGAAAACACTTGCCAACTATGCATCTGAAAAGATATTCACATATAATCAGATATTTAGTATATAAATGGAGGGCCAGGGATTTAGCTCAGTGGTTCTTCCCCCTGCCTCGTAAGTGAAAGGTCCCAAGTTTGATCCCCAGTACCAAAACAAAAAATTGCAAGAATACAAATGGAACTCAAAAAGATTATAAAATATTCAAGTAATACAAGTTAGAAATGGGCAAGCAGTCTAAGTGGATACTTCTAAAAAGAAGAACAAATGACCAACAAGTATAAGAAAAATGCTTCATATCACTATCAGGAAAATGAATAGAAAAATGTAATGCGATATCATGTCACTTAAATTCAGAAAGAAAAATAAACAACAAAAAATATCTGATATGGAGAAAAAGGAACTGTCATATACCCCACTGGTGGAATTGTTAACTAGATGCTACACTTGATCTTAGCCAAAAGAAGTGAAGGAAATGTAAGTTAGAACAGCCATTATGGAGAACTCTATTGAAATTCCTTATAAAGGTAAATAGATGTATTATGTGATTCAGTTGTCCCACTTTGGGTAAGGAGATGAAATCAGCATACCCAAAAATATGTCTGGTTACCCATGCTTTTTGTGGCACTATTCACAGCAGCCAAGATATAAAATCAGTCCAGAAGTTTGTTAACAAAAGTATGGATAAAGAAAATGTGATATAAACCAGATATGATGCTTGCTTATAATTCTGGCATTCCGGAAGGTTTAGGTTCATACATTTAAGCCCACTGTGGGTAAGGTGGAGAAGTTGGTCTCAAAAGAAATAAATGAAAATAGCTGGTGATGTAGCTCAGAGTGGAGGCCATGGGTGTTTAATCCCCAGTACCAGAAGAGGGGGAGTGGGAGGAGGAAGGAAGGAGGAGAAGCAGGAGAGAGGAAAGGGGGAGGGAGACAATAAAAGAGGGAAAAGGAGAAAGAAGGAGAAGATGAGGGAAAGGGAGAGGAAGAAGGAGGAGGAAAGAAAGGGAACTATGGTATATACACAATAGATTATTATTCAGCCATAAAGAAGAATGAAATGCTGTCATTTACAACAAAATATATGGAACTGGAGGATATTATATTAATTGAAATAAACTAGACACAAATAGTATCTCTAGTGTGAAAAACTAAAATAATACTCAAGATCCTAACGGGACCATTAGCAAAAAGGAAGAAAAGGACCAAAGGTGTAGGGACAGTGAGAAGGATAGGGAAGTAAAGAAAGGGATATTTATGCTGAATATAATATTATATAATGTATACATGTACAGGAACATTACATTATGCATATCTATGTGTAATTGTATGTGTTAATTTAAAACTAAAAATATGTTAAAAGTAAACCACAAATCTGATTCTGTTTTAAGGAGACTGCTGATATATTGAGTGAAATTGCTTTAAATCTAAAGATCACTTCTATCATTTTTAACAAAAGTTTGCAAAAGTTTTATTGGACTTACATACTCCTTTATAATATTTTTGTTATCAATTACATGCTTATTTTTCCGTCTTTGCTAGTGTATAGACATGCAATTTCTTTTATTAATCTTATACAGTATAAACATAATGAAATTTTTCCTGAATTAAAAATATTAGACTGTAGATTATCTCAATATTGAGCATATATCAGGTAACTTATAAACAATGGCTATTCTATTTCCTCTTTTCTAAAGTCATATTTTTGTTTTATTATAGTGGTTAGTATTGTTGTATAGTGTTAAGAAAAAATATTTAATAAGTCATCATTAAGTTCTTGAATATAAATATTAGTGTACATGATTTTTGCTGTAGATATAATTAGAAATATTTTTCATATTACAATGTTCTCTTCTGTTTCTAAACTTATAAAAAGTTTTCTTATATTTTTAAATTCATCAGTGTTTTATTGAACAAATGCTGAAATTTATCTAGGTTTCATTTACATCTATTAAGAAAAGTACAACTTTTCTCTTTATCTGAGGTAATTATTAAATTAATATATATTTTAATATTAACCTAGCCTTTCATTCTATATAATAAATCCAACTTGGCCATGATAACATTATGTTTTTTTGTACACTTTTGCTTTGTGTTTACAAATGATTAGAAAAGATCTACATTTTTGTTTCTGAGTAAGGTCAATTAATACTTTTACTTTTTCAAATTCCATTTGTCTATTTGGTATAAAAATGATTCTTATCTAATGAAATGAGTTTAATATTTCCTATTTTATATTTTCTATGAGACTTGCCCTAAGTCTGAAATTTTCTGTTTCTTAAATATTTGGTAGATTATTTTACATATAAAATGAAACAGCCCTGGTGTCATTTTGGTGGGATGACTTTTAAATGCTGATTCAATTTCTTCCATGTTATACAATTAGCCAGGTAGTTACTTTTCCTGAAGTCACATTCTGTATTTTATCACCTGGAAATATTATATGCTTCTAGGAACTTTTTCACTTTGTCATATTCAAATAAACTAGTACAAAGTTATTCAAAACAAATACCATCTGCATCTTTAGTTCTGTCCCTGATTATTCCCTTGTTATTTCCTACGCTGTTTACCTATGTCATTTTTTTATTCTTGACTGATGCAGAAAGAAGTTAATCTATTTTAATAGTGCTTTGAAACATTTAATTTTGACTTCCTTAATGTACACTTTTTGTTTGTTTGTTTGTTTTTATGGTTACAGGGATTGAACTAAGGACCTCGTACTTGCAAAATATGCACAGCACCAGTGAGCCAAATACCTGGCCCTCCATTATCATTTAATTCCAGAAATGTTCTAATTATTGTTATGATTTTTCAATAGCCATTCATTTTGGAAGTTTGTCTTAAAAATTTGAAACATATAAAAATAGTAAATTATTTTTCATTGTTAATTGTGCTTAGAAGGTATTATTTGAAAGATACAAATTCCCTGATATCATATAAAAACCATTTTATGGGCTTTTATACATGGTCAGAATTTACAAATGTTTCCTATATGCTCAAAACAATATTTTTGGTGAGGCACAGTCTCTTAAGTATGTCTACAGACTCAGGTTTATTAATTTATAAGATAAAATATTCTATTCTATATTACTACTAATCTGTACTTACTAGATTAGCTTTAGGACTCATAGGATGTTCGTTTTTCCTTGCATCTCTATTGATGTTTTATATATAAATGATACAGGACATAGTGGTGCATTCCTATCATCCCAGCTACTCAGGAGACTGAAGCAGGTGGATGGCAAGTTCAAGGACAGCCTGGGCAAATTAACAATACTCTGTCTCAAAATAATATTTTTTTCAAAATAAAATTTTATTTTATTTTTTATTTTATTTTATTTATTTATTTTTTTGGCACCAGGGATTGAACTCTGGTCCTTGCGTTTGCAAGGCAGGCCACCAAACCGCTGAGCTAAATCCCCGGCCTCAAAATAAAATTTTAAGGAAAGGCTAGTGATGTAGTACAGTGGCAGAGCACTTGTAGAGCATGTATGAAAACCTTGGTTCAATCCTTAGTATTGGGAGACACTGTGGCCTTGTCTTTTTTATCAAAAGATATAAACACATGTGCCTCCATCTTAGACACTAGTTCCCCCTAGGTAACCTCTCCCAAAAACACTGAAATTATGGGAAATGCATGCTCAGTTTAAATTCTTCAAACAGAGCTACAATTTATCAATAGCCAAGGACTTTCTATCCACCCCCAATGCCCCTCCAACTCTTCCTTCCCCTCAGCAACCCTTCAGATCTTCCCCTTATATCACTTAAAACTACCCAACCATGACAGATTGTAAGGCAATTGAATTCATCAAATGAATTTAAAAGATAGTTGCTTCCCATGCCAGAAGGCTTAAAAATCCCTGCTTCCTTGCCATTTGGCATGCCTGCTGCCTCATGTCTGAGTGCACTCATACCCTTCTGCAGAAACGAACTTTAAAATTTGCCTTATCAAGTTCTCTTGTCTGAATTCATTCTTCCCAGCATCAATTTGAGTCTGGGCTCATTTCTAACAATATCCAAAACAGTGTTATATATTTTAAATATTTATATTCATCTGGTAAATAAACATTTTTTCTATGTAATGACTCTAATAACATTTTTTTCTAAAAATACCTTTGTTCTTCTTGACACTAATGTATCTATAAAGCATATCTTTACTACTGCTTGAATTATTTTCCATTTTTTCAAGAAATAGTTCATATATATTTTATTTTTCTGTTATGAATGATAATAGCTGTTTTTTAATCAGTGTGCATTTTTTTCCTTTTAAGGGGCAAGTTAAGTTATCTTGCATTCTAATAACTGGCATACCTATGCATTTATCCTACTCTGTTCCTAGAGTAATGGTTTAATACATGTTCCTTAAAATGAATAAACTTCAAACTAGTAAAGTTTCTTCCCTCATTCCTAGAGTTAGCTTGTGAGTAACAAAGAGTAAACTTTGTTTTCTTGTTTCTATTTGTTTACTTCTTGAAGAGTGTAGTTAGGATGAATACATCACATAGGTGATCATGTACTGAAGGAAACAATTCAACTTTACTTAAACCAGCCTGCACCTATAATGTCGAACATTACTTCTTTTTAGTATTTCTTTGACCTTGTCTTTCAAAATGAATCATTAAAACTGACAAATACTAAATAAGAAGGGCACATAGATGTTCCTGTTCTCACTCTAACTTACACAGCCATCCAACCATCCAACTTACCTCTTATCCATATTCTGGATTGAATCTCTTGGCTCTGGTCAGGGGGCTGAATGGAACATGCTACGCTCCCAGAATTCTGTTGGACTATAAAGGAGGACTCCACATCAAATGGGCCATGTCTACCCGCAGTTATCTTGGAATCTGAAGATAAACCATGACCCTGTGGACCTTTCCACTTTACTATGGGCTGGGATAACCAAACTGAGGACTGGCAGAGTAGCTGGATGCCTCCATCACCATATCCCATGATGGAAATGAGAGGAGTTGAAGCCAGTGCTAGGGAGAAAACAAGAAAAACATGAAAACCAAGATGATACCCAAAGTCACAGTTATTCTGTTCCAGGTTCATCAACCCTATAGCCATAATTCTCACCCATTATCTATATTTTGCAAACACATATATTTGTAACAGAGCTGGCTATAGGCTAGGACTTACATGTTTTTTGTTCAGGCAACGTGCATTTACTATATCATTGTACACACCTATGCACTAAATGTGAAGAAGTAACACAGACATTTCCTAATAAGGAACTTTTCCAGAGCTTGGCATAAATAGAAAGAAAGCTGAGTTGCCACATCTAAGAATACCTCATTAAAACAACAGTGAACTAAAATCAAAATAGCAGTGAAGCCACTAATTATTTGCTGTCATGCTAAATCAAAAAAAGTTAAAACAAGGACAAGCAAATTCCCCCATTTCCTTTTGCCATAAGAAGCTTCAACAACAGCAACAACAACATGAAAAAATCTGCCCAAGGTCTCAGGTAAAGAGACTTCGGATTAGTAACTGATGTCAACATCAAGATAAAGTAGATATTTAAATTAATGACAGATATGTATCAACTGATTATTGTCATGTTATTTTCCTGTTGTTGGCTCTTTTTTATTTTTCTCCCTCTCCCTTTAGTTTCTTGCCTATTGGATTTGCACTGTTGGGCCTCATGGAGTTCTGACTTTCATTGTCTTTTCCTAGGATATAATTCAGATATTGTTTAGACAATCAAAAGAAACAGACTGGTACAAAGGAATAAGAAGCAAAATCCAAAAATATGTTGTGTAGAAGAAACACACCTAATACAAAACAACAAACAAATAAACAACCTCATAGACTAAAAAGAAAGGGAGGGAAAACAATTCTCCATGAAAAAGGAACCTGGAAAAAGCAAGGGTAGCTATCTCATTTGCACACAGAGTAAATTTTAAACCAAAAGTAATTAAGAGAGAAAAAGAAGGTAACTACATCCTTGAAAAGGGAACAATCCAACAGGAGAGATGAAAATCATAAATATTTATGCATCAAAAATTAATGCCCCCATTTACAAAACAAATATTAAGGGACATAAAACATGAAATAAACACTAATATAATTGTACTGGGTGACATAAATACCCCACTGTCACAAAAAGATGGATGATCTAGACCAAAATATCAACCACAAAATACTAGAACTAAACCAAGCTCTTGAACAAATGGACTTAATAGACATATCAAGAGTGTTCCACCCCACCAAATCAGAATATACATTCTACTTTCAAATATACACCACATGCTAGCTCATAGAACATATTTAAGTAAATGCAAAGAAATTGAAGTTATGCCATGGATATTATCGGACCATAGTGCAATTAAACTGGAGATCAATAGCGTGAGAAAAACTTCATAAAAAATGGAGATTGAATAACTCTCCTGAACAACCTATGGGTCACAGCAGAAATTAAAGAAGAAATTAGACAATTTTTGCAATGTAATGATAATGTCAATACAGCATACAGGAATCTATGGGATACAATGAAAGCAGTCTTAAATGAGAAACTCATAGCAGTGAATGCTCACATTATGAAAACTGACCAAGGTCAAATAAACAACCTAATGTTGAATCTTAAGCTCCTAGAAAAAGAAGAGCAAGAGAAATGCAAAACTCATACAAGAGAGGAAATTGTAAATATCAGAGCAGAAATCAATGCAATGGAGATTAAGAGAATGAAACAAAAAGTCAATGAAATGAAGAGTTGGTTTTTTGAAAGAATAAATAAAATTGATAAACCTTTAACCAACCTTATAAAAAAAAAAGAAAAATTCATGCAATTAGCAATGAAAACAGTGAAATCACAGCAGATGCAGCAAAAATCCAGAAGATCACCAATACCTACTTTGAGAACCTGTACTCTAAAACCATGAAGAACAGAGAAGAAATGGACAGATTTCTACATACATATGAATTACCAAAGTTCAATGAAGAATATATAAAAGTTCTAAAAACCTCAGTTACAATGAGTGAAATTGAAAATGTAACTAAATATTGACCAACAAAGAAAAGCCCATGTCCTGATGGCTTCACTGCTGAATTCTACAAAACATTCAGAGAACTACTGCCACTACTCTTTAAATTTTTCATTGAAATTGAAAGGGAAGTGATGCTTCCAAATTCATTCCTGGAAGTAAGTTTTACTTTGATACCAAAACCATGAAAAGACACAACCAAGAAAGAGAATTCAGGCCGATCTCTCCAATGAACATAGATGCAAAAATCCTCACTAATGTACTGTCAAACAGAACAAAGAGGGTTATTGTTGGGGATTTAGCTCAGTGGTTCTGCCACCCGAGTTTGATCCCTGATACAAAAAAAGAAAAAAAAAAAGAAAGAAAAGAAATACAGTGCGTCATCTAAAAGATCACACACCCTGACCAAGTCAGATTTATCCCAGGGATGCAAGGATGGTTCAATATATTTAAATCAATAAATGCAATACACTATATTAACAGAGTCAAGGACAAAAACCATATGATCATTTCAATAGATGGAGAAAAAGCATTCAACAAAATTCAACAAACATTCATGATAAAAAAAACCCTCCAGAAAATTGGAATAGATTATCTTTGTCTCAACTTGAAAAAGGCTCTCTATTAATAAACAACAGTCAGCAGCATACTAAATGGTCAAATACTAGAAACGTTCATGCTAAAATCAGGAACAAGACAAGGATGTCCACCACCACCACTCCTCTTCAATATACTCTTGGAAACATGAGCCACAGCAATTAGACAAGAGAAAGAAAACAATAAAGAAAGGAAAGGAAGGAGTTAAACTGTCACTATTTGCTGATGATATGATACTCTACATAGAAGACCCAAAAACTCAACCAAAAGACTTCTACTTGACAGATTCAGTAAAGTAGCTAGATACAAGGTCAACACTAAAAAATCAATAGCCTTCCTGCACACAAATGACAGAATCAATGAGTGAAATTAGGGAAACAATCCCTTTCACAATAGCATCCAAAAAAAAAAATGAAGTACCTAGGAATCAGTGTAACAAAGGAAACAAAAGATCTCTACACTGAGAACTACAACACTCTGAAAAAAGAGACTGAAGAAGATATAAGAAAGTGGAAAGATATCCCTTGTTCCTGGTCAGGAAGAATCAATATAGCAAAAAAAGCCATACTTCCAAAACTGCTATCCAGATTCAGTGCAATCCCAACTGAAATCCCAACAGCATCTTTCACAGAATGAGAGAAAACAATCCAAAAATTCATTTGGAACTAGAATAGACCTAGAATAGCAAAAGCAACTCTAGGCAACAGAGACATGGCAGGGTGTAACAAAATCCCTAACTTGAAACTATTCTGCAAAGCCACTGTGACAAAAACAACATGCTATTGGTAAGAAAAAAAAAGAAAAACAGACCTGAGGATCAGTGGAATTGATTAGAAGATGCAGAAACAACTCCTGACATACTCATCTAGCTCATCTTTGACAAAGGAGCCACCCATCCTCACTAGAGGAAAGATAGCCTCTTTAATAAGTGGTTAAAAAAAAAAACCTGACTTTCAACTTGTCAAACATTAAAACTAGACCCATATATTTCACCATGAACCAAACTAAAATCCAAGTGCATTAAAGATCTAAATATTAAAACAGAAACACTAAACTTGCTGGCAGATAAGTTAGATAGAACTCTGAAAGATGTTGCTTTTTGGTGGGGTTTTTGTTTGTTTGTTTGTTTGTTTTTTGGTACTGGGGATTGAACTCAGGTCCTTGTGCTTGTGAGGCAGGTGCCGGAACCACTGAGCTAAATCCCCAGCCCTCTCAAAGATATTGTGATAGGAAAAGACTATGAATAAATCCTCAGTAGCACAGGAATGAGCACAGATAATTTACAACAGGGATCTCATCTTTTAAAAAAACCTCTTCACTGCCAGATAAATCACAAACAGAGCTAAAAGACAACCCACATTGTGGTTAAAATTTTTTACTCACTGTTTCTCAGAGTAACGTCTGCTATCTAGAATATATAAAGAACTGAAAAAAACAGGCTCTCCAAACATAAAGACCCAATTCAAAAATGGGCATCTGAAATGAACACACATTTCTCAGACAAAGAAGTAAAAACAACAAATAAACAAATGAAATTATTTTCAATATCACTAGTCATTCAAGAGATGCAGAAGAAAACCATACTGAGATTGCATCTCACTTCAGAAAGAATGGCTGCTATCTAGAAATCAACCAATAAAAATGTTGGCGGGGCTGTGGGGAGAAAGGAGCCCTTCTCCATTGTTGGTGGGAGTGAAGACTGGTGCAACCACTGTGGAAATCAATATGGAGATACCTCAAATAACTAGGATTAAAAGTCCCATTTAACCCAGTTATTCCTCTGCTCAGCATCTTTCCAAAAGGATTAAAAGAATCATGCCATTGTGATATATGTTCACACATGTTTGCAGTGGCACAGTTTATAATAGCAAAAACTTGGAAATAGCCCAATTGCCCATCAACTGGAAACTGGATAAAGAAGATGTGCTTTTTTAAATAAAATGGAGTACTACTCTGCCATAAAGAATACGATACTAGAGATATTTATAGCTAAGGAGATGCACATTGAGGACATAATCTTAAATGAAATTGATATTGCATGCATACCAAAGAGTTTCTCTGGTGTTAAAAACTAAAAGTGTACATGAAGATAAAAATATATAATTCATATTGTGTAATAGGAGGAAACAGTCTCAAAGAGTAGAGGAAGTGGGAAGGACAGGTGAAAGGTAAAAAGGGAAAAGAAAAAATATGTGAAAAGGAAAAACATGGAAACAATGTCTTTGTAAACAGGGAAGGGTAGAGAGCATGAAGTGAGGGGTGGGGAATGAGGAAAAATAATAAGAAAGATAAGTCATGTAAAGGTACAAGATCCCAGTGATGAATGTGACTGGGTTGTATATCTAAAATGTAGTAATAAACTCAATAAGAAGTAAAATAAAGTTAAAAATTAAAAAAAT